AGGAGATTATACATGATTATTATGTCTACATCTAGAGGTGGTTTGCTGCATCTTGGGTAGATTTTCATTTTTATGCATTTTAGTCTCATACAGTTAGAGTCTAAATATCCAGATAGTATTTGTTTCATTTGTTTTTTCAAAAGCAGTGATATGTCCAGAACAGTGCACATGATCATCTTTACACCAATCACAGGTTTGCACTGGTAGCAAATTTGACCTTCTTTCTGTTCGACATGGATGTGAATCCTAGATTGAGACTAAATGGACCCAATTTCCAGCACTAAATGACTGAATCACCAGAGCAAGCTACTTTTAGTTTATCCAGCAGGGCAGTCCATTAGCTTGCTTTTCATCAATATGTGTGCTGCCTGAATGTTAAAAGTAGTATATAAAAGTCTATAACTATTTTTTTTTAACTTAATATATACATTTATAGTATATTGTGGTTATATTGGATATTTCCTCATTTGAAAGTGGGTTATAACACAATTAAATAGACATAGACATCCGTCAAATACAGCAGCCCATCCTGCTGTATTTTCTTTTTAAATGTCAATCTTAATCACAGCATTTTTATCTCTTATTTCTTCCTTTCTCCAGCTGCTGACCTCCTTCTCATCCCTCTGGTTGTTGGAGTCTCCTCTGCCTTGTTTGTGGGCATTGTCATCATCGCAACAGTAACCTGTTGCTTCATGAAGCAACTGGCGAGGCAGCGTGCTCAAAAATAGTAAAAGAGTCACAAAGAGGTGATGTGTAGAACATAATGGATGAAATGGCCATGAAATAACATAATAAGACAAAATGAAGTGAAGAATGATTTTCTGTGTTTTGACTTACCTGTTTAACAATCAATGCCAAAAGATTCTGTTTTATATTCTCTTGTATTTTTATATCCAAACCTTCTCTGAAAGCAGCATGTTTTAGTGATTGCTGCATCAGTAGGTGTTATATTCTAGACTTTTCACCACTCGATGACCGATTCTCTGCTCCTCAAGTGGGCATAGACTCTTTTTAGAGTCTATTTCCATGTGAGCCTAATCCACATTTTTTACTGATCCCTTTGTCTTAATCTGATTTAACTGGAAAAGGGAACTGAAAAATACACAAGCAAGATTTTTGTGACAAGGTCAAAAGTAAAGAAGGTACTGCATGTTTGTTTTGAGTCTCTTAGATGTGAGGACTCTCACAGATACTGTAAAGTGTTGTTTCTATATAAAGGCCAAGCAAACCGCCCTCTCAGAATATTTGATTGTTACAGTAAAAGGTGCCGGATGGTTCTCAGCCTGTCACATGTTTTGAATGATGCTGGATATGCAAATCATCCTGCATTGAATTACGGTTAAATTTTCACACAAAGACTATTCAGTGTTTTCGCAAAATTGTTGTTGCTGTTCCAGTTCTTTCCTGAAGCTGCATGTTTTTCATTTATTACAAACAAGGTCTATATGTCTTTGCGTGGTTTAGCCTCTATTACTGCCACTGACGGTCACATGAATGCTGATGGGAGCAGTTCAGCCTCCAGAAACTTAATATGAGCAGGGACCTTCCACCGCCTGCAGTCCGGCACCACTCTGCATGTAAACAAAGTCTCTCTGTTACTTAATAAGGAAGGCGCTGGCTAGGGACTTTTTTGATGCCAAGACCAGTTGAGTACCAATTCTAAACACAAGCATTCCTCGCCTGTGACGCTTCACGCTGTAGTGAGTTTTCTATACGCACTGGTATAGATTTGAGAGAAATGGAAAAGATATCCATTATGCACTGAGCTAAAATGTAAATACTGTATGGAGTTTAGCTGTTTTATTTTTCTTAATGTAAGTAAGAATATGCTGTAGCGCCATGTTAGTCTTTGGCAAAGCACCCGTGTTTAACATTCTGCAGCAGTCTGTTCTGCTCTTTTGAAGCACTTGGACAAAAATGGGACTGGGACCAAAGCCCCTTGGTATCCTTCTTGTACTTGATTTTCTTCCAGCTGAACTGTTCTTCTTTTGCTGTACTTGAGCGAGTTCTTTTGAGTGTTTTTGTGCTATTAATGGTTCCTTTGCTCTTGTCAAGTGACTGAGATAGAAAAACAGTACTATGAAAAAGAATCCTGTGTTTGTTACACTGAGTAACAGAAAAACTTTTGTCTTGGTGTCACACTGTTTAGGACACTCGTCCCCGAGGTGAAAATTCCCAGTGCATTGCAGTCATATGACCTGAGAGTTTAGTGAAGTCTCACTGTCGTCGTAGTTATCATGTGGCTCAGGCCACACATTTCTGCTGCCAAGACTTATTATGATATAGCCCCTGCTGCTAGCCCACAGAAATCTGTTGGACAGATTTACTGTGTCTGCGCACTTATAATGAGTGAAATCCATCCTCCTCTTCCTGTTGAAAGTAACACTTATGAAAAGTTTGGTCACGAGAGTGTGCCCGCATTGTGTGATCATTTAAAGTTGGATACATGTGGAAAGGAAGGAGGAAAGTGAAGTTTGTTGTTATCCAACTTGTTGCACTCTCATGAGAGATTATTTCAGGTCATTTTTCCTGCTTTTCTAAATCTGTTTGCACTGAGCTATACTTTACTGTCTCAGTCTGTCTTTACTGTCTGTCTGTCTGTCTCCTGGTTGGTTTTCAATGCAAGAGTCCCTCTAAATCTGCCTGTCCTCCCTAACCTGCACTCTAAACCCTGATTATAAATGTTGATCACGAACATTAGGGAATAAAATCACAGCTCTGCTTGCTTCCTGAGCCACTTTGTTCCAGATCAACTACTCAAAGCTGATTTGTTCCCCCACATACCCACCCACCACATGATTCCACACACACACATACAGATGTACGTCCACACACAGCAGCAGCAGCGGCAGCACAGTGCTGACTGACTGGCATTTCTGATAGAAGTAAGTGAGTATCTGCGTGTTCATCTCTAATCCCTGTTACAGTGTGTCCTACTGCCCTTCCCCCCTCTCTCAGTGTGCTACAGAGTCAGTGTGGCTCCCATTTGATTCATTTCAATCTCTGTTCCTTGAGAATTACAGCCAGCTGTAAAAAGTGTAGCACATAGCGTGCAAAGTACGAAAGCTGCTGTCTAAGTTGTGCTTTTGTTTGAAGATGTATTAAACCCTTTCATGAAGGTTTTATGTTTTGTTTGTATTGTTCACTGATGCTTTGATACCACTTCTCCTGAATGCATCTTGCTGCCAATGAAATATATAAAGGCGGGTTATTGCTCAGTTTGTCTCATATGGTGCTTTGGCAAACCTGCCAGTTGATAAACCAATAAACCACTCTGGATTTATAATGTCACTTTGGTTTTTATTTATTCCTTTATTTTCTACTGTCATGACAAAAGTCTTTTCAGCAGAGAACCTGAAAATGTTCATATCAGAGGCCGCTGGAGACAGCTGAAGGATTGCAGGACATTCTGCGTGGAAGGAACTAATCCAATCTGTCTGCTAGTTGAGCATATTTTCCATCTATGTAGTTTGAAAAAAAAAAAAAAAAAACATTTCTTGTGGTTGCTGCAGTTTCCGAGTTCGGACCAGCCAAGCAGAGGTTTGTATTTCAGCTCAACTCTCAGCACTTTGTGATGCAGTTTTGAAGAGGCAGAACAGTTGTCATATATTGTCCCAGAACAAGATGGAGTCTAATAAAAAAAAAAAATTTCTGGTCTTAATGAATATATTTTATGACTCATACTGGGTTGATAAATCCTGTTGAAATAAAACACAAAAAGAAAGACATCAATAGACTGACAAAAAAAACAAGCTGCTAAACCCTGATTGGCGAACATAAATCTTGATGCATTTATAATGGCTGTAGTACATTCTCATTCTCTCATGATGGCCTTCGTTTTAGTTGTTTGTTGTATAATTCATCTATTTATTTTCTTCTATCTGCTGAAATCTACCAATACAACAGTACATCAATAAAACATGTAAAGCTAAATTAAAGCAGCAGTAATGAATATTTCTATGTTAAGAATCAATCAAATGAATTTGCACTGAAATGGCTCAATCTTAGTGATTAACCCACAGATAATTATCACCTAACTCAGTGCTATTTCTTTCAGCTCTACAGTGCATTTTAACATCTATATATTCAATATATAGCACCATTGTTTTGGATATACAGCCCCCGACTTTACTGTTTCTGTTCACTCTCATCAACCTTGTCTCTAACCACAGCAGGCAGTTGTTTTCAGCAAAGGAGGCATTTGTGCCCACCAAACAGCAGACACACAAAGTTGGCAGCTAAACTAGATAGATATTTCTCTCTGATGTTGGTGGAGACCAGGCCAAAGATAAAAGTGAATATTGGATTTGCATTTGTCAGATTGCCAGAGACGCAACTCCAAATTAATTAAAATGTTGTTCCATTTCTGCTGAATGTGTAAAATGGCAAGTTTACTTGTCTTGTGAAAAAATATGGTGAGTTATGTCACTGTCAGCTTGTTCCTCCTCTCCACAGAGGCCAAATTCTGCTTTTAAGAAGGGACATTATGTCATTTATTTTTATTTCTGCTAATTTCCTTTCGAGGCTTTGTATCCATCCAGTAAAGATGTAATTTCACATCGTTTTAGAGGAGAAGTTGGCTCATTAATGGCTGATATGGACAACTGCATCCATCAAAGAACTAATATAGCAACAGTCCCTTTTATGTCAAAGGAAAGCTAGAGATAAAAAGAATGTCAAGAGAAGAAAATAAAAGAAATGGATGATTTTATTTAGTCAAATGTAGACACAAGTATATTCAATTCTACTACTAAAAACTGCCTCTGAAACTGTGCCTCTCTGAGCTCTCATGGTATTACAGTATATCAGTTTACAGAGCATTACATCACTAATGCAAACACTGTACCGATGTTAATCCTCTTCTTCCTGTATGACTTCAGAGGGACATGGCAGGCAGACAAACAGAGGCTTTGTGGCTGACTGATAAGACTGCTGCCTGTCGCTGGTTGGTTAACATACCTGCTCTCCCAACCAATCCCCGCCAGCCGAATGTCAACCAAGGCTAGATTAAACATGCCACACACAGGCCAGGTGCCCTTACTGTTGCAATACCTGTTCTAAATTGTCACTGATTCGGCACGTCTGTGAAACGTCTTCTGCAACTAAAAAATCAAAACCAAAGACACAAAGCTGCAACAAGACGAGAATAAAAAGAGTCCTGTTTCAGGTTTTGGAATCTAGCCTTACTTTAAATACAGGAGAATTAAAAATGCAATTACATCTTTTATTTAGAGATCAGAGTTTGAGATACGTCTGACGGCTTATGACAACATTTCGATACATTTAATAATTCAAAGAATTACATTCAAGGAGGTAAAGAAATTAAGATCTCTTGTACTCGTAAAAAAATATGTACAGTACATTTTTACCCGATGAGTCGGGAAGTGATTAGCTTAGCATAACGACTGGTAACAGGGGAAACAGCTAGCCTGGCTCTGTCCAAAGGTCAAGAATCTGCCTACCAGCTCATTGATTAACATTTATTACATACACACAAACATGGAGACATTTTCTCAAAACTTTGCACTCGATAAAGACTTGGTCAATAAACAAGCTACTCCTTGATTAATATGCAACAGTTTGCTTACTGTATGATATTCTATGAGCAGTAAGAAAGAAAGTTTAACTATTAATTATTAAACAGTATTTAATACTGTTGGTACAAATAAAAACTTTAAGTAATTCAGATGTGATACATCACCAATGTATGGATATTTTCACACCTGAACAATATAAAGATACAGTCACATCTTGACCCAAAAAACCTTACCCACTAAAAACTGAAAATCTTATATATTTACATTTCAAGTTGTCCTTCCTTGCTCTCTTCTAGGTTCAGTCAATCATGAATTTCACTCCATCCTTTCATCCCTTATCCCTCCAACCCAAGGTAAAGGCTGCTTCATCTGCAGGACCATGACCGAGGTGTCACCAACTCCAGGAAACTATTCTGTTGAGAAAGAGTAGAATACTTGGCTTAAATATGTGTACAGTGGTCCCTCTCCTCCTCCTTCTAGTAACATTATTGTAATCCTTTTATACATTTTATCTGTATGATTTAACATCCATTCATTATCACATAATAATATCATTTTACGGATGTCACTATTTTTAGACAGCCGTTATCTGTGTTAAGCCATTGTGTGTGTGTGAATGACGCCACTGGCTTTAGAGGATGCCTTAGCTTGGGATACACAGAGGTGCAGTAGTTCATAGTAGAATAAGTATGTTAAGTACATCTGTGCCCATCTGTCATCCAAATCCTTCACATCAGACTTCATCAGATGCTTGGGGTTGGACGGGGGCTTTTCAAGGGTTAAATACATGTCAGATTTTTACCAATGTCCATTACTCAACACATGTGGCTCTCCTATGTGTGTGAGTTCAGTGTGTTATCTCTTAAAGAACAAGTTTATGCACTTTGTGTGTCAGTGTAGTAACAGATGCTCATGAATGACTGGAGATAAGTACAGACGACAAAGCCAGGATGATGAAACTGTGAAGGGAGTTAAGTAAGATTCATCCGGTTACTGGCGTCTGTATGACGTCTAACATCAAAGTAATCAAGTACCAATCATGTAATGTACTTACGTCGATATATCCATGAGTTTTGTTCTACTTGCTCAGTCTAGTCATAGGGTTATTTGTATTTTGAGTTTATTCACTTGCTGGCCTATTTTTCATTGTAGTATCTCAGAAAAAGGGGCCAAAGTTCTGTCTAATGACGTCATTGTAGTTTTGCACACTACAAACAACTTGCTATTTCTTTTAAAATCCCCACACATGCAGTGACATAATATCGGTAGCTCTCTCTAGGTAAAGGATAGGTTTTTGATGTTTTTCAGTCATGCAGCTTCTCGCTGAGCTTAAACAAGGTCCCGTGGGATAGTTGTTCAAGCCTTTAAACACCACAGTAACTCTCTCAAAAGAATCTCACAGTATAGTTACATATGTCCTCTTATCTTCTGATGAAAACAAGTGTCACAAATCTCACTTTCTGTCAGGTTTTATTGATTTTATTTCAGACAAATCCCTGCTTGTGTAGCAGATCTACACTAAAGTTTAATAAAGCCTGACAGAAAGCAGCTTTTTCGACTTTCCTTTTTGTCACTCTTAAAAATAATGATGTCTGTCCTGTCAGCAAGCCTACATAGAAGCTGCAGCTGGTCTGGTATCATAAAAACGAAAAGCTACTCTTAAAGAGTAGAATCATCCAGGTATAACCGATGCTACCTTCCAGTACTTGCAGTACAAATGTAAGTGAAGTACCTACCCCTGTCCGAGGGCAGTGTATCTGGGCGTACCACTCCTGGCAGTACAGACACACCTGGACACCCTGACCGACGAAGAGACACGCCCACATGATGACGTTGAAAACGGGGCTCTGACGCTTGTCATTCATGGTAAAGTTGAACACCACTAAGAGAGGATGACATGAGGGAAAGTTGTTGTGAAGGCCTAACTGTGGTTAAACAGTAACAGTTTTTGAGTTATTGCGGAGACGTGAGGCCACTGGTAAGGACGCGGACAAAAAGTGCATGAGCATGGAAATTTAAAAATTAAAAATTTTGTCAGATGAATACTCACTGAGTCCCAGAGGAAAAAGACATATTGCACAAGTGTACTTTCTGTAAATATAATGAGAGTCGTCCTCTAAGAACAGCTACTGAGTGCATGTTAGACTGAATAATTACAGATTTAAACTTTAAAGGCTTGAAGGCACATTCTAGAATGTAGATGGGGACATTTACATATTTTTAACAAGCTAGGACAGACATTTCAGAGACAGCGATTTAACTTTAGCAACGGTAATGAGGCACTTCCTTACTTGAAAGGAAGGTTATGTTATCAAAGGTTTTTCAGCAACCAGGTCAGAACACTGGATACCAATAATTTCTGTTTATATCACTGTGAAGACTGTTAATAATGAGTGTAACCCTCACCTCCAAAGACGGCAAAGAGACAGAACATGACAGGATAGAAGAAGCCGAAGCCCATTGTAAAGGCGTACTCATGGACGACAGCAGAGACGATGAACACCGAGAGCATGCCAGCTGTTCGGAATTTCCTTTTCGACAGCTGCAGGGATCAGAGGAGAACAGAGAGGGTTTGGATCAAAGTTCAAGAGTCAGGCTGGTTCAGCTGGGAATTTGTATCACTAGAATTACAGGACAAGTGTTATACAGATATATATACACTATACGCACTTCATCGTGTGACGATGCTTTGGCAATACAGGCAAAAACCCACTGGAACATTACATTATTGTTTGGTTTTATGTTGTTTATGTAAGTTTAGTTTGCTCTATTGACACTATGTGCTCACCGAGAGGAAGTCTCTGTATCCATAGTAATAGAGCCAGTCATGAACCACCACATTCCAGGTACGGTAATAATTGGCGAAAGACGTAGAGTTCCACCAGTCCTGGAAAATAAACAAAACGTAGTGTGAGATTGTGGATCAAAATAAAAACAGAATAGACAAGGATCACTTCAATTATAGGGCCCTTTAAAAGTTATACTTTACTAAAGTAAAACCTGTGTTATCTCTGATATTAAATGAAAGATAGCCTTGTAGCACTGATGGCACACAGTGCCTCCAACAAATCTAGAGGTAAACCGGTTGGACTTAAAGTTAGAGGTAGGCCTAATGTTTTAAAGAGCACATCTGCTGTACATTTAGTTTCAGCTAATGCCTGCCTCAGTGTGAAAGGCTCATATACACACACACACACATACACATCATAAGGTGGAAATTGCATCTGTGTTTCAGGTTTCAGGTATCACACATATTTTTCTAACTAAACCAACTTATAATCAGTAAAGCCTTTCCCTTTATCACCCCCAAGCTAGAATTGGTCCTCTGCTTTACTACTTTTGGACCTAAGTCAATCTGCCAATTTGAACACACTTTCAGACTTGCAGGAACATATCAGTCAAATCAGTGAATCACATGAGCAAAGGAGAAGTGGCCCACAGCCAAAATCATGGTTTCGTCTTTTGTTTAAGGGGAAACGCTATCAACAGAATATAATGGATGGGACCATCAGGCCACCTGGCTGTGATTGAACTTGTCATTCATGGAAAAGCAGAAAAGCAGGCATATCTGACAATAATGTGTTCACAAGAGAGGTGCGGGTGGAGTTGTTGCTTTTGTGTTGTCTTTTTGTTTTTGTTGTGTGTCTCGAGCCAGCACCTGTAGAAACATCCCTGTCGAGCAAAACACACAGCTCCGCCAAAGATTGACAGCGAGTGCAGAAGGCAAAGAAAGACACAACAGAAGGAACATTGAACCTGAAAAAGAGAGACCAGATGAGAGGAGAAGAAAGGAGAACAGAGAGAGAGAGAGAGAAGTTTATGAGAAACACTTTTATTCAGGGCATTGCTCCCAGCTTCCTCATAAGAACTGTAACTTGACACTGATGCTCTTATATCACTTACTCATGGAGCTACTCACTTAAAGAGAGCAATAAACATGTCGGTCTTTGATACCTGATTCCATAATAATCTTCAATTTTTAATCTTATCACAGACTTAAAAACACTAGAGACCAATTCCCTCTATTACCATATTAAGTGATATATTAACTAGTGCTGATTCAAACAGATAAGAGATAATAGAAGTTATAAGCAGAAGTGATCACAGATGAACTTTAATTCTGTTTGTGTTACACATAACTTTCTTCCTATATTGCCTGAAAAATCTACCAAGATACAATACGCTTCATGTCGGTAGAAAGTAGAAAGTAGAGTACCTGGTAATATTGAGTGGAACACAGCCAGAACCAGTGTTCGTTTACTAAAAGGCTGGTTGGTCTCAGGTCTGAAGACGGGAACACAAAGACGGACCAGGATGAAGTAGCCGTAAAACAGGCATCCCAAGATCTGCAAAATGAGCATTAAAATGTAAAAAAAAAAAGCAATAGGATCCTGGGAAAAGGTTAATTAAATAAAGTATTTCTTTCTTTCAGAACATTCTTGAGAATCAGCAGAGAGATAGTGGTTTGATCTAAGATATTAAAGATTAAAGCTATTAAGCACCTGTAGTTTATTATTGCTCCACCTTATTACACAACACACAATTGCTATGAACAACATGTAGGTCAGATTATTTCTCGGTCAGTAACCCCACACAGGCTTTCTATCGGTGAAAAGTGTGAAAATGAAAATGAACACACTAAATAAAGGAAGGAGTTTCATCTTACCATACCAAGTGTGATGCCAACATACTTCCATCTTATGTGGGAATTCCTGCGAACAACAGACAAGATTAGTCTCATAAAAGTAAACTGTGAATTGTGCCTAGTGTGCATTCATACATATTGTGTTGCTCGACAGTTTCCTTTCCTTTCAGTCGTTCTTTTGCTCAAATAGGCCTTTTCAGGTTTTGACGTGTCATAGTAGGTAAAGCACAGGTGATATTAACTAACGATATTAACAATGGCTCTGTTCTATTCAGGTGTCCCAGTAAATCATGTGTTAGTGAGTCAGCATGAAACAGTGATTATTATTGTTTTATGTATGCATATGCTGTACTACTGCTGTCCAAAAGTCCAGATCCTGAACCCCAGTCTAACTTGAACAAGAGTGCCTATTTCTGCTCCATTAATGTATGTTTTTTATTTGTTGGGATAGATTCAGAGGGCTTTGGAGTTGCAAAGAGTGCAAAATACTGCTGCTTTACTTCAAACACCAGCATTTCTTAGTTTATGGCATAAGTTAATACATAGGACATCCACTCTGTTTTTTGACATTTGATTTTATTTGACAGGACAGTGTAGGAAGACAGGAAAGTCAGTGGGAGAGAGAAAATGACATGCAACAAAGAGCTTAAGCAGTAAGGACTCAGCCTTGATATGTGGTACACGCTGTACCCCGTGAGCTACCAGGGCAGCCCCGATATCCACTCTGTTTCATGCCAGTTGCACTCACATTACTATATATCACTGATTCAAATAAGAGAACCAAGCATAAGCAAATGTGTCTTACCGAGGATATGATTCCCTGTAGATGAGTGTTGGACAGAAGAGGAAGTACAGATAGCTGGATAATGTTGGGAATCTGGGACTTTCTCCTGGAAAAAAAAACACAAATCATAAAGTATGACAAGAGTGGAGGGAGCCCAGTTTTGAGCCCTAAAATCTGCTAGTGAGTAAGCTTATAGCAGTCACAAGTGGCCTTGAATGATTTTTAAAAGGGTTTAAAAAACAGCTGATATAAGGTCTGTGGTTCAGACATAAGCTTCTTGTCTGCCTCTTGTTTCATTATGTGGCATACCAGCCATTATTAGTTCCATTTCGAAAGCTTTACTGTGCCTTAATGTAGGCATCTGAAAACAAATGGCTGTCTTTAAAATTAAACAGCAGTGAGTTTATCACAAAATCGTTAAGCCATTATGTCCAATTGTCTGCATTAAAGCCTCTAATCTCTTTTGCTGAATTATTAGCTATACTTTAGTCAAGCCTCAACTTTTTACTAATACTAATGGCATTTAAAAGTGATAAAACAGTGCTGTTTTGTGAAAATTGCTTTTAGCAGAATCATAAATCTGAATTAAACAAGGACCTTACTTTCAGTCTTATTCCAAAACCACATTCAAATCATGGCAGACCATGGACACGTCTTCCATTTTCACTCCTTTATTCAGGACTATACAGTATTTTCCTGGAGGTATTTGACTGCAGTGAGTAAGTATTTAAGTTTATTACTATGACTTTATAGTCAAAAGAGACACATTCTTTCCCACTAATAGGAATAGGAACTCATGGAGATGCACATACTTGAGCTTATTTATTGTATGTGGGTGTATTCATTGTTACTTTTAACTTCAGAATGAATCATTAGGCGGTAACTTGCTGAGCTGTGTTTTAGTCATTTTTCACAGGTGTCTGGGAGTGTCACTGTGAGTAATTATACCGCCTGAGGAGTAAATACACCTGACATTAAAACAATACAGTACAGTACCTTCCTTTGGTGTATTCTTCATAAGGACAGGAGCAGTTTCTCTCATGAACGAGTAGCTCTTCATCAGGAATCGAATCTGAGGGAAATTGATACAGTTATTATGTGAAGTGAAGCACAACATATCAATAATAATATCTTCTATATCGTTTGTCTTTATTACATGAATTGGCTAGATGTCCGAAGTGAACAACCAACATCTTTGTGGCCTCAATCTCACGTTTCTGTTTGCACATATTGACCCAGTGATGTATTATTCAGTTAGTTGTTGACTTCTTCTGTAATTAATCAGGAGGAGGGACAAAAAGGGAACTGTGTAGCATGACAGGGCAGACAGGAGTACGGATGGAGAAATGGTTTGTCATTTTAGACATGTCATAAACTGTGTTCAGACATGATGCGTCATCAATCTGCATACAGCAGGGACCCACATACACTATTTGGGCAATTTAGTTAATGAAATGCATTCATTAATGCATCAAAAATCAATATAATTCAGTTTATAAAGGGGGAGGGACGCATTAGAATTACAAATAGACTGATGGAAATAGATGAGGAAAAAAAGCATCTAAGCACTGGGATTATCTCACTCCATCAAATGGAGTTAAAATGATCTTAGCACTAAGACGGTTTTGGGAGACCGGGGCCAGTGCAATAAATAGGATGAGGAGGTATTACACTACGGGTCCATGATGTTCAAACGTTGGCTACACTGAGATACTCCTGTCTCTTTTGGTGTCTTTCCAGCTGGTCTCCGATCTCTGGCCAATAGGCTTTCTTATCGCAGTGTTCCTGCTGATGGCAATGAGGAACTGCAGTTAAAATTTGGATTACCAATGAATACAATGTTATCTACAGTACAGGGTGTTTCTAGCACAGGTCCTTCCTAATAAGAATTTTTATACTTGTGATTTATTTTATTGGATTTTTATGTTCACATTGCAGTAAAAAAAACTTTAATCATACCACAGGAGTCATTAAAAAAGAGTGGTACTATTTGGAACTGTAAAAACTGACTGCTTATGTAAAATGACAAATGAAGTGCTTATGTCAGCTGTTCAGTGTCACTGACATATTCATGCATCATTGTTCGGCTTCCAGCTGACTAGTAACTTCCAAACACATTCATAAGTGTGGGTACAGTGTACTAGGTGGCCTTTACAATTCGGTTCTCCCTTCAACACCCAAACCTTCTCCTTACATTATATGATTTAAGCATGGGTATTGCCGTCTTGCTGAGCTCATGAAGTGTGCTGACTGCAGTCTCGGATTCTGTACCATTTTGTGTAAAAGGGTGCTTAGTTCTTCCAGCAGGTGGAGGTGGGGCATCTGAAATGCTATATGAACAGCAGCAACGGATGCAGCAGTAGCAGCGAGCAACAGTATATCCCTCATGTGAGCAGTGCGGCAGCAGGCAGGAGTGAGCAGAGCACTGGTGGCTTAAGGACACCATTATGATACTGATATTGGATATATCTTGCTGTGAGGAGTATGCCATGTAAATGTAGTGGCAAAATCGAATTGAGCTGCCTGAACTGGCTCACAGTTTTATCAAGTAGTGGTGTGTTGTCCGTATCCATGAGTTCATCATTGATTTCCCTCTTATTTAGGCTATAATCACTGATGTATTACACACAGGTGATTAGCTAATCAGCTCACTAGTACATACTGGAGTTCCTGTGTTTATAAACAAACATTTTTCATAAGGATCCCTTAGATTTGGTAATAAATAATTGTGACAAAGATACTTGGAATACAAGTAACATGCTACTTGATATTAACCAAACAGACATACACACATACACTCACCTGCTCCAGTATCACAATAAACCGCGAGGCTGGTGGCAGCTGATAGTGTACAACCACGTAGATGGGGAACTGTCCCAGTACAAAGGTCTGCAATGCAGACAGGACCAAGCCCGTGCCGAGAGACAGCCCCAACTTAGAGGGGAAGCTGTGGTACAAAGATCCCCAAAACACCAGGGTGTAGTAGGGAACAAACAAGGTGTAGGCAAACATCACAACCCAGGCCCAGGTGACCGTCCCCAGCTTCCCAAAGGCAAAGAACAGCAGGTCGAACTCCAAGACCAACCTGAGATTGCATAAAGAAATACAAAATATTATTATTATATTATATTAAAATTATATATTATATATGATATATGATATATGATATATGATATGATATATGATATATGATATATGATATATTATATATTATATATTATATTATATATTATAAGGCAGATCATTCCATTTCCAGAAAAATCTAAATTAAGTTAAAATCGGAACATTCAGGTGCTCTATTTGCCACTGTGGTCTGTTTCAGCTTTAAAAAATATGTTGAATAACTATTTTAAAGATATTAAAGCATTGCTGGCTCAAATAATTGGCAGGCATATTTAAATGCATTGAGTATTTTTCACATTACTTTCTAAAAAGACCCCTGTGGTGATCAAAATAATAGATTTGAAATACCCACTCATTGCAGCATGTCAGAGGATTTATTTAACTCAAAACAGGCCTTTGCAAGTGTGATATTATTATTTTTCATTTAATCAATTTACCCATATTAAAATCAATGTTAACTGAGGGTGGATGTAGCAAAATAATTTGCATGGCGGAGCGTTGCCCGATGGCACTTTTCCTCCTGTGAGAAACAGGAATAAAACTCACAACCATGCGCCTGCAAAAAGCAACCAAATCATTACCAAGCTGCCCAAAGCCACAGCAGAAATACTCAGAGGGATTGATTGCTCTATCTTTCTTCTGCCAACAGAGAGGCAGGGAGAGAAGGAGGGAGGGACACAATAAGGAGAAAAAGAAGATAAGAAGTGAGTAGGAAGTTTTTAAAGGCTTCAGGGTAATTAGGTTTTGTTCAGGGTCATGAAGTTTGAGATGTGTCGGTGTCATAAACATACAGGCCTCTACACACAAACACACGTCACACAGACCTGCCCTGGTCGATGTAGTCGACAGCCAGCGTGCTCAAGCAGAAGATGAGGAGTACAGCTATGAACATGTGGTAGATGGTCCTGATGTGGTTGATCTCAAACAGTTCACTGATAAAGAGGAGGAAACAGTCATTAAAATAGCTCTAGGTTGTATTCATGTGCATACCTGTAGTGCTGTATACATGTTAGAGGCTTATTCATCTATAATACACACATGCTTGTGGGATTATCACAATGAACTTCTTACAGTCATGTATACAATGTGCAGAAGATATTCAGACTGTCTGTCTTAACAAGTTCCATATAACATTCATGTATCCATATTTTTTAAAACAGTTAAGCTATCTTGCACACATAATTATAGTAGATGACAGTGGTTCTCAACTTGTGTCAAGAACCCAAATTGTTACATCAAGGCTGTATTTGAGAAGAGGGATCCCTGTCTGATAATATTTAGTTATTCCATAACTGTCTAAATTGTAGATTGACATATTAATAGCAGAGAGTGTGAAAACTTATGAACAGTATAGTAATTCTTATACATTCTCTCATTGGGATAACTTCTAGTCAATAAAGTAAAAGTAAAATTTAAATAATGCCTATTTCTCTGGGAACTCCTTGAACCTCTTCAAGTACCCCTTGCCATGGGGGTCCCCAGACCCCAGGATGAGAACCACTAGTATATGAGGTTAACAAGAGACTCACCAAAAGAAATCTGAATTGTAATAAAAAGTTCAAATATTATACTTGGAAAAATATATTTTCTAAGACACCACCATGAAGAAAGCATAAAAATGGAATGTTGTGGTTGATTGGAGAGGACTCGTTAATTTTTATGGATTTTGAAAAGAAAAAAAGAAAAAAGCCAAATGTTTGCTGCTTTTCTTCTTCTTATGTGATTGTAAATTGAATATCTTTAGGTTTTGGACTGTTGGTCAGACATTAAAATTTCTTCCTTCAGGAAAATTGTGAGTATTTCTTATTATTTTCTGACATTTTATAGACAAAACACTTAATAATAGGCCTCATGATTTATAATCATTAGTTGCAGTCTTTTATTAAAGTTTACACTGGTCTGCTACTTTGTTGTCTAAATTAGAATAAGACTGTCAGTCTGTCATACTTACTCCAACAGTGATGGCCTGGCCATAAAAACTTTGCCGTCATCCATTCTCTGAGATCTAAAACAAACGACACAGAAAAACGGACACACACACACATTTTACTGCAGTTAATTAAAGGATAATCGTGTCTCCCAGATCAGTAAGGAATAATATATGTGCTAGTAAAAGTTGCCTCCTCCTCCTCACCTGGATGAGGGTTTTTTTGTCATCTTTCCATTAACTGTTGGTTGGATTTGGGTCAAAGGCTGGACAGACTCAGTCAGAGCTTTGTCTAGTATATCACTGAGCTGATCCTGGACCTGCTCCAGAACTTTCACTTTCACCTTCTACAGGAAGACATACAGGAGAAAAGTTGTATGTTTTAGCTTTCTCAACTTAAAGCCTACTCTATTTGTTCATCCCACAGTACAAGATGCATCCCATGTGTTGTATACTATTTACTCTGCACAGCCTCAACTTCTGTATTCCCTCTTTCCAAATAAGTAAGACTGAGGAGGGACGGTATAACTGAGGGATTGAAGTTAGGATACTGGATGGTAGTGGAGTTACCTGTGCATGTTTCTGCCACTGTCTTAGCTCTTCTTCCTGCCCATTATTATGGCCCTCGGCTGCAGAGAGAAGAACATAAATTACATCAAAATGATCAATATACTCTACACATTGCACCTGCATAGACATTCAGTGCAAAACTAAGGAGGAAAGTAGAGATAAAAAAAGCAAAATTATTGTTATCTTGGTTTAGTGTGCTTTATAAGAATTGCATAAATACCCAAAGTATTAATAATACTAGAAGAATTAAGGTTGAATTCTACAGTACAGTAAACAAATACTGTATATATTGAAATCTGTTATTAATTACAAAAACAAATATGCCAAATACTATCAACAAATACTACCAACAAAGCGACACAGGATACACAACACCAATTAAAATATTTTTTATAGATGAATGAGTCTGTAAATATATTATTAACCATACCATGACTGGAGATCTCATCTGACTTCACATTTCGGTGCCACAGTCCATTAGGTGGCTCTGCAGTCGTCATGGTTACCACAGGACAGCTCCACAACACTAAGGACTATCTGACAATCCAGTGTGTATAAAAGTAACGGGTTAGTCTCACACACTCTTGCTTCCCTGATTAATGCTGCTTGGTTTGTGTTTGCCCCATCTGGCCTGTTGTTTGTTGTTCTGATACTTGGTATCACTTGGTGGGCCCATTGAGTGTTCTCACAATAGTTTGGATCCACACAGGGCTCAGTTTGTGGTTATAATCTGAGGTAAATCCATACTAGATCAGTTAAAGCAGGAATATGCTGATGCACTGTCCTCTCTGGTTTGAGACACACCAATAAGTGATGCCAAATAAGGTGTTCTCACTCATTAAAGTGCTGTGACGTCACTGGACAGAAGCATAACATGCTCACATCTTTCACCCCAGAGAGGGCAGTGCAGCAAACATTTTTACACTTTCTTAAAGTTTGACGATGTAGACTTGAGAATCTTGAACTATAAATTGAGAGATTAAATTAGGTCACAGGCCCATTGCTGACAGGTTGCCTCATGCCAAAAAGCATTAATATTCCTGATGAGCCACAGTCCCAAGGAGATGAGCTTACTCGTGTGAATCCCAAACTGATAAAGCGCACAAACTCCTGGTCTGAATGCAGAAAGATATAGGTACGTCAGGGGTTTTGAACTGTGGTTACCTATTGTGCTTTTCAATAACAGGAGTGTTATCTCCAGTCACTGTAGCTCAAGCTAAACAATGTAAACAAATGATAAAGCCGGTCTATCTGTGCACTGTGGAAGTTAACTGTAGATAAGATACACAGAAGACAGATGGAGACGTTATGTTCAGTAGACTTCAGAGGAAGGGGTAAACGACACAGAGTGACCTTAATTTCTAATCCATTCTGTTTGATCACTTCTCAGGAGAAATGTCAATGAAGCAGATTACCTTTGTAGATAATATATTATGTGGCTGAGGATGATGAGATGACAGAGAAAGAGAAGAAGAAAGACGTGTTTTTGAGCAGGTCAACACATTCTCAATTCTCTCAAGTAAGTTTAGGGTGTACTTGCAGTCTGTCTAACTTTCATTTGTCTTTAATAAACAACTTTATCATTAAATAAAAGTTTTTATTTGCATATAGTCTGTAATGAAAATAAATGAATCAACTAATTTCAAGAACACCAAGTGTTAATTCCACCATATTGTCTTGCAACAGAATTTGAAAAAAATTCAGTAAATCTTATTGGTACTGTTAGAAAAACATGATCCACTATTTGGCAGTTAAAAATTGCCAGAAAATCAGTTTTGAATTATCGTATATTGTTCATGAACGAATTGATTCAGTTTATTATAATCACAACAACAGAACAAACTAAAAACTGTGTGCAACTTTTATTTTATTGCTTCCTGTTTTGTACAAACTGAGGAACAAACAAACAAATAAGCTAACTGAGAGTTTGCTAAGAATTTCCGTCCGTCACAGAATTCTCTGTACTCTGTATTTTTGCCATTTTTAAAACTATGACTGGTACAACACTATAGAAAACTGAAATCTTAAAAGTGACAGATGTCAGATACAGATGTATCAGGCCAACGTAGCATCCATGATAAACATTGTCATATTTATACTCACAGAGTCTTCTAGCCTCGGGCTCAGTCAGCGGTCCACGGAGGTGAGAGGCACTGTTGCAATCTATGAGTCCCGTTGAGAGAGAGTTGCTGGAATGTTTTTAAGTAAGCATGCGTCACAGTTCTTGTCCTCTCCTTTCCTCAGCTGCTGTTTTGCACTTTGCCCTTTCTGGCTCCTGGCCCTGGGCAGGACAGGTTCAACCCCCTGCCCTTTATCTCTTCTCCTGGATGTATGAGGTCATGCAGCAGTTTGTCCTAAAGTCCAGTCTATTCACAGAGATGGACTGTTATTGCAAAATGTATTTATAGTTAACTATTGATTTTTTATTCTACTTGGCATATAGCTGAAAATTCGTGGCTGTTCTCAGTCTTATAGGTCAATGGTTTTTCTTGCACTGACTTACAGTACCAGCCACACGAACTGCAGCTCAGGATATATCCCTTCAATCAGTTCAGATAAGCAAGGGCCTGTCATGGACCAGCTGGCAATTCTAGGCAGCTGCATCTGTAGCACTTCAAAAGATATATTTGTATGGATTTTTAAACATCCTCTTTGACTCAAAAAGGTGTTTTTTCTTTAAGTCACTTCACTTCTATGTTAAAGCTTCACTGTGCAGATTGATGTATGCGCAAAGTTTGACACAAGTGTTGACTGTTTTCAAATTCATCTGCAAGTTCAAGACATGTACGTATCAGATGATGAGTGACATCTCAATTAGTATGATTTGGAAATTTGACATTTCCAGTGCACACATATAGAGAATAGACTTTTCACTGATGTAGGAGACCCTGTGTGACACCAGGAGTTAAACCTTTGATGGGAATTATATATTCATGGATTCTGTATTTTCAAAGAGGGAGAAGAAGAAGATGTCATTTTAAGAATGTTTCCTTTGGTATCTGAACTTTTTTTGTGGGCTATTTCAACACTGTATGTCCAGAGAGGCTCTTTATGCATATGAATGTATTTGTACGCATGTTTCAAAAGTTTACCCGTGTAACTTCAGGCTGATGAGAAAATAATGTTGGATCTACTTGCTCACAAAGCTGACATATGCAGGAAGACCAGTAATGAAACAGTATGACGGCAAAGGTCATTTACTCTGTGACCAAATACACGTATTTGGTCAACAAAGAAATCTGTGCAATCAGTTTGTTTTTTGTCAAAAGTGTTTAACTTGGACAAGAATTTGGAACAAATTTAAAGTAAATGTAGTTTCTAAATTTATACAATGCTTAAAAAAACATTTCTCTTTAAAGTTGTCAAAATACATCATCGTATCAACAGAAATCTTTAGCACATTTGCACAAAACATTATACAGATTATAAGATTGATTTACAAAATCAAAACCACAGCAGAAAGCAGAACTAAGAAAGATAAACAAATCCACCTCTTTGGTAGTTGACGTCAGGCGGCTGACCGAGAGCACTACCCCCGCTGGGCCCTGGGTTGCTCTACTTATCGATTTGTTTTGGTTGAAAGTCACTGTGGCACTGTTGGCAGATGGTGTTGTTTTCCCTTTCATAGTAATTCAAAGCCTATAATTACTTATATCACAGAAGAACACTGCAGAAAAACGAGAGATTATCCTTGTTATGGAAAAATACTAAAGACTTAAATCAAGAGACAATGTGGCATTATGAAGTCTGGGGTTGTTGCCGTTGATTTGTGTTGTCCTGAGATGATATTGACCCCGATGTTACAGCTACTTTAACTCCCCTGGTTCTCTATCAGCATGTTATCATAGCCGGATTTATTGACAGAAAACTACCATTTAAATGTGTTTTTCTCTGGTTTATAAAAATCTGAACCCTCCCCAACATTGGTAATATATTCAATAGATGCTCCCCTTGACTCAGAATAAACTGAAATACCCTCCCCCACACTATCAATATATTTATGAGAAACATAACAAAGTGGTGACAATTTAGACTCTCTGTAATTAAACACATTTTAATTTCAGAATTTATTTCTTTTTAACATAAAAGTGTCAACATCTGTTTAATGTGCCTTTTTAACATGCTTAAGAGTAAAAATGTCACGTAATTAGAGTAATAGAGTAATAACAAGACAGTGTAATAATGATATTTACACAGGATCATCTTTATTGTAAGGAGTTTCATGAGATAACAGTACCGTTTCTCAGCAGCTACAGAAGAAAGTCCTGCATGCACTAAATCACACGCTATAAACAAACCAACCAACGCATAAATGTACAAACAGACACAGACATTTTGCCTCTGTTTTTTTTTTTAAACCACCCTACCATTCTTGTCATATTTTTATTTCTGCATATTTAGGCTACAGTGTCACATATTATTTACCTTGCCAGAGTATTTTTTCAGATTGGTTACCATTACTGTAAGACAAACAGAACAATAAGACTGAAAATAAATTCTACACTCAATCATCCCAACATTTACAGCTCAATGTACAACCATAGTTCATGTCATTGTTTTCTTTGTGGCTTTCAATGATTAACAGCAGATTGACAAAAGGACCATTCACATTCAATTCATGATTTCTATAGTTTGTGTAAAAACACTCAACATCAATGATAATGTAAACGTTTTTCTCAAGTTCAATGACCATTTTTGACCTTTTGGAGAAAGTTGAAGTCAGCAAAGAGGAAAAGCATAAAGAAAATAATGTGATAAGGTGCTTTATGTATTTCTGATAAGTCTCAATATAATGAGTGGGTCTGTTGGTAGCGCTTTAGATTGCAGCTCAATTTACAATGTAATACATTTAGTATACACAGTGTATCAATAAATACTTACTGAATAATTATATGGGACAAATGTGTGGAAGGAAGTACAGGGGGAAGACAAGATGTTAGGGTAGAACAGGGGTAACAATTTTGTGTATAAGAGGGGAAATTGGGCCACAGTTGTATCATAATGCCATCATTTATTTAGAAAATTATTATATTAACTATCTTTTTAGTGTGGGAGATTAAATTGTTAAAGTACTTATTATTATTAATATAGTGTGCATTATACTGCTTTACTCGTACCTACCCAGTAAGTATTTCATTGATACCCCGTCTGTACACAACGCTTACACTGTCACTTACAGGCTGTAATCTAAAGCTAACAGATACTGATCTGTTTTGTTAAAAAGATCACAGACAGTCGAAGAGTAGGAGACTCTGCTAAAAAGATACAGCTCCTGTTCTCTCCCCAAAATACACACAGAGATATGCACATGCACACACACACATACAGTCCGTCCAGTGCCAGCCTTGACTCTCTCATCCTGACTGGCTGATCAACAGAGAGAGCTTAATGGGCAGCTTGGATTGACTGACTGTCAGTGTGCGTAGTCAGTCAATCTGCTCAGACTGCACCTAAGTAATACCGGATGTATCTGTACTTTGGTCAAAGGTCAAATACCTCATTGGCTGATGAGGCACTATATCTAAAGTGTGTGTCAGAGGGATAAGACAGGGCTGTATCAGCTCTTGATAACCTACAGTAACCCTTGGTTCATGTCTCCATCACAACTATATAGACTATTGTAGAGCAAGATCCTCTTTAGGTGACTCACTACAATCAGGGCTTTGGTTTCAATCTTAGGTCGTTCGTAAAGAGCCGTAAGATTAGTTATCTCCTGAACAAATGTATATTGGAACAGCAGCTGCACACATTTTCATTCAATGACAAAACAATCCAAAGTATTCTGCAGTGTAAGAAACACTGTCAACATGATATATTTATGTATCAAAACAAATGCAAATGCTTCACATTCAACAACTGCTATAAATGAAGAATAAATAGCAAATAAATAACATTTAAAATGGAGTAAATGATAATAATATATATTTCTAGTACTAGTGGTATAAAAATAGTTGCTACACAGTTCTTTTTTTTCACTCTGCCATGCTTTTGGTTGACATGACAATGACTGAATATCTCACAGACGATCCCTCACAGGCAGCTTTTGTAGGGATAATTTACAGTTTAAAAGTCTCTCTACAACAACACAGTCAGGTTTTTTTTTTTTTTTTTTAAACAATCAGGAACCATGTGTTTTAGACTTCCCTTCATGGATCATATGACATTTCTTTTCAGACCAGTGCAGTGTAGCAAAGGTCAGACATGGGGTGACTTAACCACTGAATATTTCAGTGTTTTATTTTAAACAATTCACTAACCAACTTCCTCATTTGCCACTTGGTTCTTCCTGCTCTTTGTAAGATAGTGCTACTGCCAGAACAATCTGAAGCTTTAAGATTTAAGGTGAGGTTTTTACAAAAAGTGTGAACTTGCTAGAGGTGGCTACTGTCTGGTATGTGGATATAGGGGTTATTTGGTTTATTATCCCTCTTAATCTAACAAGAAAAAATATATATCCTCCAAGGGTACCAAAATACAAAACTGTTGTGTCTTGAAAAGTCTTGACAAGTTATATATCGTACTATGTGTATATAAGCTTAATTTACCTTTGTTTAATTTGAGTAAAAAACAGGTCAAATATGAGAAATCATCTTGTGTCTAAATTAATGCTTGGCCATGTTTCAACTGCTGCAATATGTGTATTATAGTTAAGTCTGCGTTGGTCTACCTACATGGCAACAGCAGCCTACATGACATAAAACATTATAGACTATATTGTTGCTATGACTATTGACACTGTTTCTAAAAATTCATATTGCAATTAGCTTAAATGTTGCTTTCAGTTTGAATTGAAACTGGATTGAAGTTTCAAAACTCACTTAAAAGGAGTCTTTTTCTTATTGTGAAGTACTGCAGGTATAGTATTAAAGCCTGATATATAATAGCTTAGTCCTCCATTCCAATGACCGCCATTGTTTTCAAAAACACATCAATGAGTCACACTACTGCAATGGATGCCTTATTTTTTATATAATCATATAATCCACAGCTGAAAATATTCCCCAACACAAATTACTGAGACTTTTTAAAAACAAATAATATATTCAAGGTCTGTTTTTAAAACGTACATCTTCAGTTGGCTTCAGACTGAGAGCCACAGGCAAGGCTGGGCAAGTCGGAAAATACTGAGAGACAGAGGAATGCATTGATGGTTTTGGTCTTTTCATGAGATTTATTTACATTAACAAAAATACTTAATAATGCCAGCTAAGTATTGCCAGCTAAATAATGCCTAATTATTCTGTAAACACGTGTCATTTTTAAGGCTGATTTTCCCATTTACATTGACTGACAGCGCTTCTCCTGCACTGGTGTTTAGACTTAAACATTTCATGATAATGTTGCCTCAGTAGCTCTCTTCCTCTGTCATGTATTTTCCGAGAAAATCTGAAGACCAACATTGCAAATCAACATGCACAGTCAGTATAAGTATAAATATTAGTAAACTGAGCTCGAGGTTCACACCGCTTTCATGTTGCTTAACAGTGTTTTACTTGGAGTTTTCAGATCCATACATAAGTTTAATCGTAATAATAATGATAATGATAAAGACTAACCTCATCTTACTGGTGAATGTACTGGTTTTTATGTCCTCTCATTGAGACAAACACCACACCCTAGTGGTTAACTACAGCACGACACACCTTCACTTCCCCACCTTTCTATTTGTGGTCCCTTTGTATTCATGGGGGAGGGTGTGTAGCAATATGGGTGTAAGCTGCCAGTTCACAAATGTGAAATGCCGTGCTTTCCATGAATCTCACCAATACCCACATACACCCGACATCATTAAACAGGAAGGAGAAGGGATTGAAGAGGATCAAGCAGGGGGAGGAAAAGGGAAACAGGGGAGAGATAGATGTCTGTTTACAACAGGTGAGGATGGGAGAGGAAAGAGAGGCTGGGAGGACAGTGATCAGCTGCATGCAGATTTATAGAGGAGGGCTCAGAGAAAAACGTCTGCCTGGTGAGAGAGAGAGAGAGAGAGAAAGAGAGAAAAATACAGAGAAACAGAAAGTAAGAGAGACATTCAGATACATTCGAGAGAAACAGGGAGAGCGAACGATGGCATAAAAGAAGAGAGAGCAGCCAGTGAGTCAAGCGTACATTGCCAGAAGGAACACATCTCGAGTCATTTCATTTCTGGTGTCTTCACTGAGAGCTACTTGTGTTTGGGAACTGCATGGAACACTCTGGGGCCAAATTTAGACTTCATAGGATGTAAAATTCACCAGCACTGTTGCAAAACTTATATATTTACTCTGCAGAAAACTTCATGGCAGCTTATATAGCTAGAAGAGTTAGAATAACTTTTAGATTTCATCATATAACACAGACAAGTCCTCAGTCTGCAGGTTGAGTGCTATATAGAGTGCAAGCACATTACACATTTCTAGTTTTTCCTAAAGTAGAAAATTAAATTACAGCACTAGTTCTGCAAAAGAGGTCAATTCACTCCCTGTGTGCCTGTGACAAGGGGTGCTGGATATTATTAAGTTGAATACATGAAAAGAGTAATAAATGAATCCCATGACAGCAAAAGCAGTGGGATGTAGTAAAAACCCAGAGCCAGTGATAATTTAATCCACCTTTCTCATACGGGTCTTTCCCAGAGTAAAGACATTGAAAAAACGTTTCTCTTGGAAAAAGCTATGTTTTTAGAATTTGAAATCTTTAGCTCTTGGCTGGGATTTATGAAATAAAAAAACGACTGATCTGAGACATATGCTCTTTGTTGGCTATTTTTGTGCAAAGTGTCTCACAGTGGAGCCACTGAGTGTAGGTATTTTTAGTTTGGGAGGCCCCAGAAAAAAATAAAAAATAAGTCTCTTCACCCTGGCAGCTGGCAAGGTTTCTACTGTAAACTCCACACAGCACCCAGGAGCTCAGACCCAATAGCCTCTAAAGTCAAAGTGATGGTTCACAAGATAACTTCTGCTCCCAAACCAATATATACATTTTTATAGTAATTTAGTACATCATATATATTTTAATTGCTGGAAAAAGTTCCTATTCTGAAAGCAAAAGTATAAATAGGAAGAGAACATGTGCAATTTGAAACATGAGATAATTTCCTTGCCTGTTAATATTAACATTTTTCAATAATCAAAACATATCTCATACCTGCGACGCACGCACTAGCATGCAAGAGCCACAATCATGTGCAAGACAACGTTGTCACATTCAGGATCTTTGTGCAAGTAGTGCTTACACATTGCTTTTATAAAATAAGCCTGTGGTTCTCAGGATTAAACTTCATATAAATGTATATTATGTAACACAGAAATCTGTATGTAATCACAGATGTTTAATGTTACTGTTGAGGCGAAGACAATTAATGTGTACATATGCAGTATTGAATCATTTTTAAAAACATACTGTGCAGCTATTACCGAAAAATGAAGTGAAATCACAGTGTTTAATTGGACTATACAAAAGTGATCAGGTTGTCATAACATTTGGTTATTTATAAATGTAAGTCTATACATGCAGTGCATATAGAACAACAGCTAAACACTAGCAACTGATGGAGAAAAGCTGCTTCAAGGGTGGATTTTTTTTTAGATGCTATGTCAAACCTATTATGGATAGATTCAGTGGAGTATGGCTTTGGTTGCTTGGTTACTTGTGATATTTGTACATTTGATGCCTATTTTTTGACCTGTGGTTCATGAACCTATGTTCTGCAGCAAATTAATATAAGAGTTGTGCCATTTTTCTCTGCTGTCTTACCTGCTCAGGACTATTAGCTGGCTGAAGCCTCTGGTTGCAGGCTGTAGAGTTTGGCTGGGTCCTGATTGTCACAGACGTCAGTTCTGGACACAGAATTCACATTCAGACACATGCTAACCAACACACCAGAATCACAGGCGGCCGCAGCACCGTCACCAGATTGATCATCAGCAGCATCCACAGAAGCAGCAGCAGCAGGTGCAGCAGCAGCAGCAGTGGCAGTGACAGCAACAAGGGGGCAGCGATGGAGCAGAGAGATACAGCAGTGAGGGAAGCAAATCAGTGGTGTTACAGTAATTGGTCTGTAAACCAAAAGGGTTAAGTGCATGCAAGATAAATGTGGCAGTGCCATACTTCAACATGCTCTTTGCTCATAACTGACTACTATTAAACATACAGGTATGAAGCTAATTACTTCAAGCTCTGTCATTCATTCTGACAACTGATTATCTCCTATCAAAAGTAAATTGCAGGACCTTCAGTCGAAGCCAAACTGTTGCCTGTCATAGACGGCCCAAAATAAACCCTAATATTAATTAATCCGTTTCTACAAAATTGACATTGATTACATGGAAGTCTGCACTAAAACAACAAATAGCAGCAGATGTTTTACAGTAATCAAAGCTGGTGCCCCAGTCTTACCTGTTGTCATTGATATCTGTGGTGTTTCCTGCAGACAGAAAGAGGTGCATAAGGAAGCAGGCAGGTGCACAGTGAGAGGGTTGGTGGTGTGTAAATTAGGGGAGAAGTGGGTTTGTCACAGGCACATATGGGTTTTACTAAAACAGCCCAAAGCCATTGGAGATAGATGACTTTGGAACAAGCAACTACATACTGTGGTGTTTCTCAGACAACAAGTCCTTATTACATAAATGACTGAACAGAGTGTTTGCCAGTGCATTTTAAACAACCCATATGTGCATTTTACTCATGTGGTGACCCGATCAGCTAGGGAAAGAACAAGCAGCTGCAGATCAAGACCATGGTCATTAAATCATGCTTAAAGCATGGTTAGGTTTATCCAAGTAAAATAAATGTGTTAGGGTTAGAAAAAGATGTGGTGGTTATGGTTCAAATAAACCAACAACAGCCCAATTAACTGCACTCATTTTCCAGGGATTTCAATTGTGAGTGCTATGTTCAACGTCCTCCTACTCCTTGCAGCTACTGTAATAATACAATCCTTAGATAGGCCTGTGCTTCCCATTAACTATCCCGACAGAAATTAATCTAAAAAAATATTCACTTGACTTTTTATGTGACACATATTGACACAGAGGCAAATTAAAAAAAAGTTAAATTTCTTTCTCACTCTTCAGCAACTGAAAAGTCTCTGTGTGTTTATACATTGTTATTCATGGAGGAGAGTTTACTTCAGTTTGTGTGCTCTTTGCTTCAACTTGATGAGTTGGCTGTTATCAAGGGGCCTCATGCTTGACTGGATTAAAATGGCGTTCAGTTTAATCTCTTAAAAAAAAGTTGTGACATTAAAAGAAAAATCTTATCCTAACAGGAACTGTCATGGCTACACCTCAACGGGCTAAAACTAAAAAAGAAGAAAAACATTTGGGGTGCAGGCCTTGCAGATTTCTTTAGCATTGCATTTTACACTTTCCCATAAGCTCTTATTGAAATTCGTGACACTGAGTAGAATTATATCCCAGAGAGAAAATAACTAGTGATACACCAGAAGGAAATGTTCCCTTCTGAAAGAGTGACTTCAGAACAAATTACAGTGTACAATGTTCCAAATCAAACAAAATATTGAAAACAGAATCAAACTAAATGTAAGAAATCTAGAGAAGACTAACTAAAACTAATTCTATTCTTAACAGTACAATTATTCACAAATCTCATCTGAACTGCTGCCAGTATTGAGTGTGACTATTTTTCATGCCAAAAAGAGACAAATATCAGTGTTTTCCCTGAATGTTCTTGTTGGCAGAAGGAGGAAAACCCTCTCAAACAGCATCATGGAAATCAAAAACTAAAACCAACTTGATTATATTCTTTGAGGATCCACGGGACAACATCACTGATATCTGTCATCTAAAAAAAGGCATTTATTGTCGCAGCAGATTGATATATTGGATCTAACCCTGTTTCTGACTTTTATTGATATTCCTGGAGAATCAAAGAGGTGTGGTGTCATTATACAACTCTACAACTGTCATCACTGGGTCACAGGCTGAGGTGGACACTCTGGCTGTCTGGCTGGCTATCTGTCTGGCTGAGTAATGACACTGCAAGCCTAATCTATCTCCTCCAGAGTCTGTCGCCGATGGGAGCAGACACACAAACATAAAGACACACAAAAGCCTTAAGTAGAAGCAGCAGTATCCTATAATAACTACTTTCCATTGGGGATTTTTAAAAGATGACAGACTGTATCCCATTAATATATATGGACACTTTATCCAAAGACTGTTGACCTATGCTGAAAGCCTACTCCTCACTCGCCAATGTCTCAGTATTACAATCAAGACTGCTGACTCGAGCCAATTACAAGAAGATGAAAGCAGTGAGAAAGGAAAAAACAGAAAGAAAACAGTGGGCAGAATTGTTATCATAGCAGCGGGGCAATCATTGTAAACTGGTTTAACAGCCACCACTCTGTAAGAGTACATAAAACAACATCCAAACATAATAGTTGGAATGATGGACCCATAATGGAAACCACTAAAAATCATTCATAATAAGAAGTGAAATTTACCCCCGCTGGTCTCGATCATAATATTCCTCATTATTTTAACAGGCATCATCTGAACTGGGCTCACCATTTTCCGAATCAAGCATCTCTGCGGTGCTCTTGTCTGCTTGGCTCAGGGGTTCAGCTGGAAGGCTGCAAATGCGACAAAGAGATGTTTATGTAAATATAACATATGAGTTTCCAAATCATGATCTTTATTGAAAAGGCTTTGAGTTAATTAAAATAAAATAGTAATAAAACAAATTAAAATATAAATTTACCCAAGTGCTCACTCAGCCACAAAGTAATAAATCAAAGTCAAAACAGATTAAAAGGAACTGTTATTGTTATACGCATACATGTGGGAAATCTACAGACACAATAACTGTAAAATGCTTGACTGTTTAAGCTCTTTAAAAGTAGCTTACTATAATTCAGACCACAGATTATTAACAGATACAGTTAAAGACCTACTTTGCTTGAAAATGCACTCGCTAGCTGTTTTTTGTGCATTTAACTATATTTCCCATTCTTCATCAGTGGATTGTTGTCATGACAAATAAATCTCTAGAGAAAGTTCAGTCAGGAAGACTGTCTGTAGTTTATTTCTCATACCATCTTGCCATTCCCTCCTCTCACGCTCACTCACTCATAATTTCCTGGCGTCATTGTCTGGGGCTGTAAACTGTGATATAATCTGTTCTCATGAGCTGGTCACATTTATCCAATAGCACAGACACACCTACATTGTTATCTTAATATCTTGTTGCTGTCTTTTTAAATATGATTCTCTCCCCGCCTTCAGTATGTTCATGCTGCCCCCTCCACCTCCCTATCACTGCCCAGTCTTCACAGATTGATCATTTTCATCAGCTTCCTCATTTCATCAGTCGATCAGTCTCAGCAGAGTCATCAGCACCAGGGGGACTGGGGGATTTCTGCTCAGGTGCGGACACCCCTTGATTACAAAATCTCCCTGTAGACTCCAAGCACCAAAGACTTTCTGTCAAGGATTAATTATCATACATAATCTGTTTTAATAAACAATTATCATTACTTAATTCACTTGTCTCTCCTGATAGAACTGTAGTGCGGTTGACAGCACTGAAAAGAGCTAGTAAGTGGACCTTGAGTCAAGATTATATGTCAAACCTGCAGTAGATTTCTCCATAATGTTAAATTCTACTACGGGGTTTTCTCACATGTTGTCCTGAGCGTCGCTGTTGTGTGAATCGTTGGTTTGGGAGTCGTGGTGTTTGGTGGGGCTGTTCTGGTTGGAGTTGGCTTCGGGTAACCAGGGCTCACTCTCTGGAGTTACAGGAGCAGAAGGAGCAGCAGGAGCAGCAGAAGCAGCTGGAGCAGCTGGAGCAGCTGCTTCTTGGTTGTTGCTGTTGTGGAAACCAGCTTTGCAGAAGGCAACGGGGTGATCGCTGTAGCCTCGGATGAAGAAGGGGTTGGTTGGGGAGCAGGCTGGGTAGTGGCCAGGACGCACAGGCTTGGCTGTCAGTGAGAAAACACAATTGATGTATAAATTGATCCATTCATCCAGAAAAGACAAAAACATATTTATTTTGCCCTCAAGGGATAGTGTTACACTGGTGTCTGTAGCACAAAATAATAAATTTTTAATGTGACTGGAATACCTAGAATATATTAAAGTTTTTTCTGTTACAGCATACGTGCTCTGTAAAGTGCTTGTCCTGTGTTCTCCTTTGAGAACAATCATCAATTTTTATGTTGTATATTTTGGCTTCATAAAGGTTATTTTGTATAAATTTGATGGAATACCAGGGACGGTCCCTGTATGCGTCTATGTAGATAGAGACCTTGTTTCAATACAACCAATTGAATTTTATATAAAGCCGTAATGTCAGCGTTCTATCACCGGCAGAGCAGACGGTCACACTGAGCCAGACAGCAGCTACACAACACAAGAGCCACAGACTTTGCACAACAACCCCCATTAACTTTCCTATTAAAGTCTCCCCCTTATCTAACTGACAAACATGAACACGCGTCTTCTCCTGCACCTTGCCATGTCAAATGAGCAACCTAAACAAACATTCACAGGGGGAAGGTGCGCTGCTGACATCAGTTTGCTGCTCAGCTACAGCACATTAAACAGCATGTAAAACGTACCTGAGGTGCTAGTGTGGACCTTCATTCTTCAATACCACTAACAACACGACATCTCTCCATGACACGTAAGCTGCAGCTCAAGTTTGTTTACTTTGTCTCTTTTTCACTATGATGTAACACTGAGACACCTCTCCAACTGGTTGAGATGAAAAGGAGCATTTTTGATATTTCGCCAGATCTTTTTTGTTCCTTGATGATAAAAAACTTGTAACAATATAAAAAAACTGAGTTACAAAAAAAACATGTTTACATTCTTGTGACATATCTCAGTAGCTTTGGTATGATCATCAAATGAAAACCATTATTCTGGAAACACTTTCAAATCAATAACTCATTTTCTCACAGCAGCATATGCATCTCATTTCTTTCACACAGAACTCAAAGCGCAGTTACCTTAATTTGCCACAGCTATGAAGTGAGTCTTTGTGATAAAAATGGATTATACTGCTTTTTAATAAATTATATTTCTCTCAGAAAGAGCATGTAAATCCCTGCATGAAAAATATCCCAGCCTAACATCTTAACTATTCAAGTATAATTAAAGTTGAATAAATTCTTAGCATTTTGGTCTGACCATAAATAATGTCATCATTTATGGCAACTATCATGATTTTAGTTTCTAACAATTCTCGAACATGTGTTCCACAGTGGGGAACCTGAGTCTCTGCTACTTCCAGTTCCTGAATATGGAACAAGATTGGTGTCGAAAACCTGTCTTGGAGCTCGCTCATGCATGAGGAGGAGTTGTATGAATGTTCTGGTAAGGGGAAAGAAGGAGATGACAGATGATGGAGCATGAGGGAAGCAAATCCAACCATGGATGTCGCCTGTGAGGAAATCACACAGCAGGGACATGAAATGGATGGTTGCACCGTGCCGAAAGATTTTTCTCGCATTGGAAGGGCAAATGTCAGATAAGAAACAGGAATGGTGTAGACAAGAGTGTTTACACTGGCAATCTAAGCGGTGGAGAGGATTCACATTTTACGTTGTATGCTTTGTAGAATAGCTCCTATAATAATTTACATGAATCTTACCAGTATAGTGAGACATTTGTCTTTATTCTACTTCTTTCCCTTTACTGTTGCTCCTGCTATAATGTAATGTATAATCCTTTAATATTGCTGCTGCTTTGTTGAAACTAGAGGTGTATGGCATGAGTTTTGATGGGTCATCATTCACTTGGCTGCAGTGGAAATTAGACAGAACAGTAAAATTCGGTAGGAACAGAATTTGAGTGGATTTTTCAAGGGAAACTGAAACGCACTGGATGATGGATTTACTTAACTTTGACTTTGGATTTTTGCAGGTGTTACGCTGCACAGAATAAATCACTCTGGTGATTGCACTTATTGTTTATTACTCAAAAAACATACTTAAGGAATTCAGAAAAACTTCAAAATGACTCTATATAAAATTAATATAAGTGTTTTTATAGACATGAAAATAGTTGTGTGTGTGATTTTACTGTGGTCTGAAATGCCAGAATTACAAGAAAGCAATTAATGTCCTAAACAGTAATGTAATAAAACCACTGGAATATTGCATGTTAATACCCACAGATCAGAAATTGAATGTATGGATAAAAACATACCATCCAATTACACAGCTTTTGCTAAAATGACACATGCAACCATATAAAGTTGTGTGTAGATCACTGCTGATGGCTGTTTATTATTTTGATATAGCTGAATCTGAGAGCGAGGTGCATGTGTTACCTATCTGTGCAGCATGTGGCCGGCGAAACGGATTGCGAGTCCTCATCACATCTTTGATGCGCTCCACTTCCTGCTGGTAGCGGTGGCGGTCCTTCATGGCTCCTTCCTTCGCCTCCTTCAGCGCACCCTCCAGCGCCTTAACTCGCTCAGCTGTAGACCGAAGACGTTTCTCCAGTTTTGGAAGCTCACAGCGAAGATCTGCATTGTCACGCACCAGCTGTCACACACAGAAGAAAACATATAGTATACCTAGGGTTTGACTGAACATGTCAATGACCATACAACACATTGTGTCATATAAACAGGGATTTATTTTTCTTTTTTCCTTCTTTTCTGTCAAGGATAACAATTTTCTGAATACAATTCATGAAGAACTTGTGTCCCTTTCACATTGTTATATGTACCATTATGAGACCTGGAAATGATGTTTCACCATTTTCTCTTTTATTTTGTTTTGAAGAAGAACAAGAATGTAAATGTGATTTTATTTTTTTCTAATTTGTTTGACGACTTGCAGAAGCATCCTCCTGTTTTGGAGTGAGGTATCTGCCAAGAACAGTACAACAATGAGTATAGTATACAACAATGGCAGTAGCAAAGTGACCACATAACCTCCTTGGTTTGAACTGGAACATTTCTGTCAGTTAGAACCAAATAGGTGCAGCGAGGTGGAACAGAGTAGTGCCAAGTGTGATCTGATGGGAAAATGTCTGAAGGGAAAGACAGGTTACTGCCTTTTATGTTGAGGAAACTTCCTTGACAAGTTCAGAGTGAGGGCTAACTCACCTGAACAACTATTAATAACTACTTATAGCAGTTTATATAACTAGCACTAGGCCATTTCACAGAACTAATGTGGGGGGGGGGGCACATGCAGCGAA